GAAGACAGACATACAGACGACATGAAAATCAAATAGGCAGGGATTGCACACGAAGAGCTCAAAACAGACAGAATCAGGTAGATCTTTGGGGGGGGATACCTATTATTACTATTACTACTACGATCATAATAATGAGTAGTAGTAGTAGTAGTAGTAGTAGTAGTAGTAGTAGTAGTAGTCGTGGTCGTAGTAGTAGTAGTAGTAGTAGTAGTATCAGCAGCACTAGCATCATTATTACCTGGCCTTTCCTGCGACGGTTCTTCCTGCTTTTCTTGGGACGGGTCGGCCCACATTGCGCTGGAGCCCAAGTGTGTCGTCAGTCTTCATTTAGGGTCTTAGGTTTGGGGTTTAGGGTCTCTACCTTGTGCCCTCGTTTCCACTAGCTGAAGCTGGTAGCTACGGACCCACAGGCCGACCGAGGTGCAACGCAGGCCGAATGAAAAAACATGATGCTTGCAAGCAACATCCGGAGTGGTCGTAACGGTCGTCCCGTTGCAGAAGCACAGGGGCTGCTCGTAGTTTTTGTCGTTGCGATCGCAGTCGACAGTCCCGCTGACGTAAAAGCACTTGCCTGTCCCTGGATTCATGGCGTCTGGATCGAAGAAAGCACCGTAGCTTCTGGTCGGCATAGTAGAGCACGTCTGACCAGTTGTGTTCAGAATCTGATCCTCAACTTTTGCAGCTGTGTCGAGCTCGGCGATCTCATCAGCCCCACAGCCGCCGTAGCCGTTAAACTGGCAAAGGTCGTTGCAGGTGTCGTGCAGATCACCCAGAATCCACATGGGAGCCGCCTAGATTGCTGGAGGTATGGGGGTCTAGGGTTTCGCGTTGATTCGTGATGATTCTTGGGTTTGACTCTCTGGCCCTCAACTCAGGCTTCCTCTTGCAGGCAGAGGAACCGTGGTGGTCGTCGCGGTCGTCGTGGTCACTGGCACCTCACAGCGCAAAGCAAAGGAAATCGCCAGCCCCCGAGCGCACTGGGTTCAGCATTGCGAATCACTGCGGTGGGAAAACCCATCAGCACCTGCAAAATCTGAAAAGGCCAGCGCTGTGTTCCTTGCAAGTGTAGGTGTCCCACATGTCCACATGTTCGGAGGAAACGCGCGGTTCGTTGGTTCGCTTTGATTTTGGGATATTCACGCTTTGCTCCTGCACGTGCACAACCTGCAACTTGGGTTTGGCGATTGTCCGACATAGGCTTTGAGGGAAACATCGAGGGAGCTCTCTCTGGAGACGAGTTCTATAAGGGGTTCCGTAAAAGTTCCATAAGAGTCTATCAGCGCTAGAAAGGATACCTAGGTTCTATGTGCCTTTGTCGTCGTTTTACACTCCGGGCTTAACAAAATTCCGGCAACGGCTACTACCCAAAGGATCGAGCTGAGCAGTGTCAAAAACCCGACGGCACCTGACGAGACCAAATTTGGGTTGCTAGCCGGGGCAACAGATGAAAAGCCACTTGATCCGATGCGCCGAGCTGAATATCATCTGGAAGCCCTAAACCCTAATCCCTAAACCCTAATCCCTAAACCCTATACCCTAAACCGTGACTTGAGAGCAGACCGAAGCTACCAAGTTAGATTGCATAATTAGGGACGTCTGTGGCAGAGGGCCTTCTCACTTTCTCCTTTCAGCTTAGCTTTTCACGGCTTCACGGGCAAACGGAAGCAGAAGGATCAGAGTTGAGCCCATCGACCGAAGAACAGAACGAAACCTCTTGAAAGCACCTTGGCCGGACATCTTTGCTCGGCGAGCCTTTTGGAATCTTTGTAACAGACCTAGGGAAGCTCGTTCTTGCTACCTCTTTCCTCTGCACCAAAGACACCAGAATACTTCCTCGGGTTTTGTGGCAATCGGTGCGACTCTCGCGCTCTATTCTACCCATAACAGCTACATTAACGGCCAGTTAGGTTCTGCAGAAACAAGGCAGGGCTGTCAGACGTAGGAAGAGTGAATAATGACGTGTGCCATGCACAGCTAGATTGCTCCCTAAAGCACAAAGGGTCAGAGCTTCTTATGCGGAGCTCCGTAGAAAATGTCAGGATGAGTGATGTGCATCCACAGACGGCATTAGAGGAGCAATTGAGAGCCGCCAAGGTCTACAGCGATCATGGAGAATTCTTGGTAACCACGCCAACCCAAAGAAGCACAATAATGAGTCGTGGCCGGCTTCCAGCTAAATAAGCTAACTACTACGCCCTGTTTGCACGCAAAAGACTGAATCCAAATTTTCAGAGGATTGAGGGCTTAGCTCTGTTGGCAGGGCCAGGAACCGTGGGCACCGGCACGTCGGGGGGCAAGTCCGCCTGACGATGCAAAACAAAAGCACTCACCAGCCCTGCCAGAGCTCGAAATTCAGAATTCCGAATCAGTCAGCTCCAGCAGCAGAAGCGAACAACACAAGTCCTTCCCGCTGAGAGTCAAAGAAACCCGCATGGCACGCTGCCTGCACCACCTACCGATAGGTCAGGTAAGTGCCAACTAGCAGCAGTCGTGGTGGGGTTGTCTGGTATGTTGTCGCCGTTGTCGTGGCTGTAGTATTCCTCGGAATGTTCTCCGCCTGTTGACTCCCTGCCTGCATCCCCAAATCAGTTCTCGCGGTAAGGATGTTCTGCTCCCCCCGATTCAGCTCGCTGCCCGATTCGGCATTTAGCTGTCTGTTAAGCCCCCGGTTAACAAAAAACCATAAACGTCCCAGGCATGCACGTCGACTCGACATGCAACCACGGGTGGTGCCATATGGGCCAGGACCTGCGGTGTACATGACGGACAGGACAGCTTAGTATAGGTTAGCGAAGCCGAACAGTTTCTGAAAAGCTCTGGCACCAAGCAGAACCTAAACCCTAAACCCTGAACCCTAAACCCTAAACCCTAACCCTAAACCGTTATTTTTAAAAAGCACCAGGCCAGCTCTTGGTCCTCCTGCTTTCCAAAAGCAAAGCTGCAGAATTCAGGCCAAGTGGCCTTGACACGGCGCTGCCTGGGAACATACCCCGCAGCTTCGGCTCGCTTGAGATTTGAGGGTTGAAGGCTTAGGGCTTAGGGTTAGTTGAGGGTTTGGGATGTAAGGTTTAGGGTTGAAGGTGTGTCTGCCGCGTGCACGCGGTGGGTGTGCTGCTTTACGAATGGGGGCGCACCCACTCATCGTGCACTTGCGTCAGCATGTAGTCCCGCCCAAACGAACCCAACTATTCTCAATTAGGGTTTAAGGTTCACCCCCAAACCCCCCTCAACGGGGGCTCTGTTGCCCTTTGCTTCCCTTCGCAGTTCGAAACATAAACGAGCAAATTTCACAGCAAACCACAGCTGAGATGGATTGGTGTCGGGTTTTGGGAGCTCGCAGCTTGTGCCGGCCTCTCGACGCGAAGCAAAGGCTTCCAACACACAACCTGCCCCTCGCGACCGGTGAGAGTCGCTCGACGTGTAAACATCTATGCAAGAATGCCTGTAAAGGCTTGGAGCGTCGGGAGGATCAGGGCAGACCCACAAAGACAACCACCGGTCGTGGGCTTGGGGTCCTTCTTTACTGGGCGTCGTCACTACAGTCCTCGTATACCGGGAGGCTTGACCCTCCCTCACCGCTCTGGCGAGACACTAGGCCGAAGTCCTCGGTCTCGAGCGCCCATGCAAATGGTCAGCAGCTTTTGGCAGTTTCGGGTTCAGGGTTGTATAGGGCTTAGTGTTTAGTGTTTAGGGATGAGGGATTCAGATTTGCGTTTCAATCTCTAGACTCGAAACCCAACAGAACCCAGTAAGCCCGTCAGTGAAGCTTTGGGGAAGTTCTCGAAGATGCCAATGTTTCATGGAGTCTCATTACCTCGGATCTGAGCCTTTCCAGCACCCGAAACCCGTAACCCTAAACCCAGAAACCTCTAAACCCTAAACCCCTGGACCCTCAACCCTAAACCCTAAAACCTCTAAACCCTAAACCCCTAGACCTTCAGCCCCTAAACCCTAAAACCTGTAACCCTGAACCCCAAGACCTTAAGCCCCTAAACCCTAAAACCTCTAAACCCTAAACCCCAAGACCTTAAGCCCCTAAACCCTAAAACCTCGAAACCCTGAACCCCAAGACCTTAAGCCCCTAAACCCTAAAACCTCTAAACCCTAAACCCCCAGACCTTAAGCCCCTAAACCCTAACCCCAAAACCCTTAACCCCAAGACCTTAAGCCCCTAAGCCCTAAAACCTCTAAACCCTAAACCGCAAGACCTTAAGCCCCTAAACCCTAAGCCCAAAACCCTAAACCCCAAAAAGACCTAAAACCTCTAAACCCTAAACCCCAAGAGCCTAAGCCCCTAAACCCTAAGCCCAAAACCCTAAACCCCAAGACCTTAAGCCGCTAAACCCTAAAACCTCTAAACCCTAAACCTCTAGACCCTAAGTCCCTAAACCCTAAAACCTCTAAACCCTAAACCTCTAGACCCTAAACCCTAAACCCTAAGCCCAAAGCCCTAAACCCCAAGACCCTAAGCCCCTAAACTCCCCCGGTCACTGAGAGCTGGGCATCCTGGGACGTCTCTTCCGACGAGCCCTCCGAGGCCAGCCTTGAACCTTCAGGGTTTAGGGTTTAGGATTTAGGGTTTAGGGTTTAGGGTTTAGGGTTTGGGGTTTGGGGTTTAGGGTCTAGGGTTTAGGGAGGGTTTAGGGCTTGAAAATTTCGGGCTTCGGGTTCTGGGTGTAACAACAGGTGGGCTTAAACTGCTTCAACTCAAGAAGCTCTTCGGACTCAGCAGCTTTTCCATCTGCTGTAACGACTGCGTAGCATTCGGTCTACAAGGGGCCCCTGATACATTCGGGCCGAATAGCAGCGTAGTTTCTGCTTTCACTATGGCACAGCAACGAAGCGACTGCACATTGGAACTTACAGCTCCCCGAACTTTGTTCGTTGCTGTTTATCGCTTGTTATAGCCTCGCTCATCTCGTTCAAGCTTCTTTCCAGCAAGCGATGTAGTTTCGTCCACGATCTGGTATTCTCCCGTGTCAATCAACTTGTAGAGCGCTTCCATGCTGGAGTTCTTCTTTGTAAGGCCATCCACAATCATTTTGGGATGCGGCACCCATCTGATCTCGCCGTTGATGGCGCTCATGTTTTGTCGAACCACTTGGATTTCCAAGCCTGTTCTTTTGTCTTGAGAAGGCCCCGATGTCTCCTTTGAGAGGTGATCGTAGAAGGCTTTCGCGTCCACGATGCACAAACTTCGTTTCAACTCCTCGCTGGAGTCGTCTCGAGTAATAGCCATCATTCTGTTCTTCTGAAGTCGTTCCTCCATTTGGCGATCTCAAAATTCACGTCCGTAAGCTCGTTGTACAGCGTGACTATCCAGCATAGTTCGCCCAATCCTTTGCTTAAGCCAAAAGCCAGCACTGCATAAGCTCCTTGACTGTGGCCTTCATAGGCGTTGCCAAAGCTTGCATCTGACACCACTCCCCAAGCCAGCTTCTCCGGCGAAATGCTCTTGATCTTGATCGTGAGCTCTGGCTTCATCTTAAGCATCTTCACCGCCTTATTGACATCCACCACATCCTTCACAGTGGGCTTCGGAAAAGTGCTAGCCCCCAAGGATGCTGCTGCTGAGGCATCTGGACGTCCTTCCTTAGCTAGCCAGTTCAGCGCGCCGATCACAGCTCTCATCTGGTTGATCTCACTGTCGTTGGCTAAAGCCTTGAGCTCGTTTTTGCGTCCTTTGCAGAGCTGCACAGGTTCCAGGCGTTCTTGTACAAATTTACGCATATCAACCTCGAACTCATAGTTTGGTAGTTGACGTACTCGTCTTCCGTTGAACCCTACGCCTTCTTTAGAGTTCATCACGCCCTCGTATTTGCCAAACTGAAACCTCTGTTTCAGAGCCTCCATCTGGGCCTGATGCTGGTCATTCCCAAACGTAAACAAATCGTCAACTTCAACCGCTATCACCCCATCGAGCACTTCCTTGGTTTGGAGATAGTACACAGTAGGATCGATGACTGACTCCTTGTAGCCAAGAGAAAGAATCGCCTCACGTAGCGTCATACGCCAGTGTTTGGGAGAGTCACCGAGCCCATAGACTCCTGCATAAGTCTCCACCAGCTGATCTTCATGAAGTCCTTCGATACCGCCCTTAGGTAGCGCAGCATAAAGCTTTCCTTGTTTTCGATTCAAGGGAAGGCTTTGACAAAACGCATTTTTGAGGTCTCCAACGGCTGCTTTGTACTTCATGTTAGCTGCAACTTGTAGTAGGACTCCAAACGAGGTGTTTGTAAGCGTCGAGGCATGTCTGTCGAGCTCCAGCAGATCCGGATCTCGATCTCCACGAAGACACCACCTGCTCTTCCTCGTTGGCGGCTGACCGGGTTGCTCTGCTGGTTTCCATCTTCTCACCATCCTTGAGGGAATTATTGGATGTCGTTGGTCTCCATTTCGAACCTTCATGGACTCTTCCAGCGAAAGAACCCGGATAGCTCCGGTGTCAGCTACCTTCTTCCACTCGGCACTGTCTGTCTTCCTCCACTCTGCCCATTCTTCTCCTTTGATCTCGTGCTCAAACACTTCACCTTGTCCTCGAGGTTTCTGGGCCATGTAGTTCTCGAGCTTGATGGGCTTGTTGCTGAACACCGTGAAGCCTGTCCACATCTTTGTGTTTTGACTTCTCTTTCTTTCTTTGAACCAGTGGCTCGACTCAGTCTTCACCTGACCGTCATTCATCACCATGTAGCTCTGCCTAAACTTCAGTCTTCTCGGCATGCAGGTTCCTTTGATCTTGTTGGGGTTGCAGAGGCTAGTTCTTCCAAGAACATGCCTTCAAACAATTGTGTCTCGGTTGACAAACTCCCAGCAGTCATACTCCTGCTTCCAGCGCCCATCCTCATAGTAGAACCATGGACTGATCTGATCCTCCTTGGTGGTTTCCGTAAAGTAAGGAGAGGACATGGGTCGATGTTCCGCCAATCTCCTTGCTGCATCATAGGTTGGCGTTCCTCTGAAGTTGCCATCGAGCTGCTCATTCCGAATCACCGTTCTTGCTGTCATAGGATCCATTGGATTTCTTGGTGTGGGTATTGGCTCTGGCTCGGATTCGGTTCTTCGCCTTTCGAACTGTCTCGCCTCTGGCGGTTGTGCTTCTGGACCTTCTGGTAGTTCATGAGGTTGTTCTTCACCATCCGGAGAGTAGTCCATTTCATTGTCTGGAATCGGTACCCTTCCAGGATCATCTAGCCGTGGTCGAGCTGCTGCGGGTTCTCCTGCTAGTTGTTGCGGCGCAGAAGGATAGGATGAAAGATCCTGTTGAGGTAGATCTTCCTCTGGAGTAGCTTCTCCGGTCATGTCCCGGAAAGTCCTTTTGGTGGCTCGCTGTCCAAGTTCTTCACGTAGTGCTTCCATTTCTCCCGCCAACATTTCTTTGGACACTTGCTCTTCAGAGGTTGCATGACGGCACTGCTCCATACTGACTTTCCATAATTCGCCTTTCATAGACACCCACAAACTTGGCTTTTCAACTGCAAGGACTAGGCCTGGTCCGACCCAACAGGGCTTCCGGCCTTCATGCGACTCCGGAGTCATGGCGTGCCTCCTTTTCCGCTCTTTGGGCTGCCTATAGGCATACACCGTATCCCCGGGATGGAACTCGATAGTCACCCGGTTGCTGGCGTTCTTGGCTCTGGATAGAGCTGTCTCGGTTTGTGACCGGATGTAGGCCTCTTGCGCGGCTTTACGAAGCTCCAACAGCCTTGTCATCTCATCACCTGCGCTCTGCACCATTAGGTGAGGATCAAGGGGATCATCAGAAAGAAGTGATCCAGGTAGTCGAAGATTGTGCCCAATCTGCCTCTGCATAGAGCTGTATCCACTCCTGTTGCCAAACCTGTTGCGAGAACTCTCCACCTCATAGAGCAAGGATTTGATCTCCTCCCAAGAACACACATGAGTTGCATCTCTTGCTCTTTCGTACACATGCTTGAAGTGAGCTCCAGCGCGCTCCGTTTTTCCAGCCTGCCATGGACTTCTGGCTGCTGTGCGTCGCATCAGAGCTCCAGCTTGCGCCGCCACTTCAGCAAACTTTCCACGAAACTCGCCTCCCAAATCAGCCACGAGGACTTCTGGGATCCCAAATGTTCTTCCCCACGTCCTGAGAAAGGTCCTCCATGAGTGGTCAGCCTCGACATTCTTCAGTCTTTCCACCATCTGGAATCCAGTTCCCCAATCGACCATGTTGGGGGCTGGAAAGCTTTCCCGTGGATTTAGCGCTGGTAGGTAGATCACGTCAACGCCCACGACCTTGCCTGGTTCGTACGACTTCGGAAGGACAGCAGGTCGAGCTGGTCGTGGTCGTGGTTTGGACTCGCACACCGAACAACTAAAACGTGTAGCCACATACCTGACTATGTGAGGCTTTGCATTGGCTAAACGTAATGATCGAGCCATGTCCCGGGCTTTTGGATGCCCCAGATTTTCATGTAGTCTTTTGACAAGCCTTTTCTCCTCTGCCGTGGGTTCCAAGTCATCATCTTGTGGCATTGGACCCAGTTCATCGTCGTCTTCTCCAGCTACTTCTCGTATTTCTTCCTGAGGTTGAAGATCCCCTTCGCCTTCTTCTCCAATGCACGCTGATGCGGTTCCATCGAACATGTACATCTTCTTTTGTTGCGGTAGAGGAAAACCGTAACCTCGAAGGCGTCTGCAGAGGGTGTCGTCAATTGAGCTCCATCCTCTTGACGTGAAGGCACTGATCACTATCCTTTGGCCCTGCCACTCACAGGAAGAGTGCCATCTTTTGGGGTCAAACTCAGGAAGCTTGTAGTGGATATCGTGAACCACACCTTTGACTCTTAATCCGTTGGGCTTGACTGTTGCTGTCACTGGCCTCTTCGCAAGAAGTCCACAGGCCTCCTCCACAGCGCTTCCCCAGGCCGAGGATGTAGTTGGAGGTTTGGTCCTTGTTGCGGTAGTCGATGTGTGATTTGCTCCCTGCATTGAGTCCTATAGCCAACGTTGTCCACGAAAACTTGTGGATGCCATGACATTGACATTGATACTTCATAGCGTGGTTGAGGTACTTGGTGAAGATAGGCATGCCCTTGGCCATGTTCGTCACCCCATACTGGTTGCCGTGAGCATACAATCCGACGGAGAGGTAGATGCCTTGTTCCGTGCTCTGCCTCTTCTTTCGAAACTCATGTGGCACGTGGCAGATAAGCTTCTCCATCGAGGTCATTGAAAAGTCCTTTTGCTGTAGTAAAACACCGGCTCTCTTCTCCAGCAATGCCTGCGCTGTCTGGGACATGTACACTAGGTTGTCCTCGGGCGACTCGGACTCTCCATGCTCCTGGCACACATCGTTCACTAGGGACTCTCCATGCTCCTGGCACACATCATTGATAAAGGACTCTCCATGCTCCTGGCACACATCTATAAAATTGACCAGGTGCGCTTTGGGATTCTGTCGAAGATCGCTGTTGTTCTCGTCGTAGTTTATGGAACACTGTATCTGAACAGAGTCATCTTCCAGGTGCGCTTTGGGATTCTGTTGAAGATCGCTGTTGATGTTCTCGTAGTAGTTCTCCTGGATCACCCGCTCATTCTCCGTCGCATACTGAACTTCCCGTAGTAGCTCCAGGCTATTTGACATAATCCTTGCACCATCCATGAACACACTCCAAAATGACTCCTTTGTGTGCAAAACCTTTGCGACCTCAGACTCATCGGGACCCTTGGCATCTTGCCATTCGGCTGCTTCCAACGCAAGTTGACGAGCATCTGCGTCCCTTCCCGGCCTCAGCACGACACACTGCGCTTCTGCTTCGCGCGCTTTCATCCAAAACTGTTCTGGACAAGATGGATCCAAAGTGGCCATCGCCTCGTCATACTCAACAAACATCTTGGTGAATTCTGGTGATACCATTTCCATGACCTTGGGCTTATAGGTGGAGGATGTAGGAGCGAGAATGCCGTTGAGCTCCTTTAAGGTCTTCTTGGTTTTGCCAGGCGACAAAGACTTGATCTTCCCGGATTCATCGCTCCACGCCTTCATATCTTCATCATCTTCAAACGTTACCAGGATGACCTTATCCTCGAGATGTCTAGGCAGCCAGCCACTGCGATGCTGCCAGACCTGACTATGGGGCTCCCAAACAAGGAACCGTCTCGACGGTGCCATGTTCCAAGGCATAGAAATATGCGAACCACATGCCCGCATCTGCATGCATCGGGCTCTCTGAAGCTGAGCTTCGGTTGTGAGCACCGCAACATTGTGAGGACCAACCGTCTCGGAAAGGCCCTCCGCACTCAGGATTCCGACACCATCTGGAAGCCATCGTTGCTCACTCCTGAGTGAGCCTGAGACGCTTGTACTTGAGCCATGTAGCTCTGGAGCCAGGCCACTTGAGTTCGTAGCTCCTTCACCTCCGCATCGTGGATGCCATTCTGGTTCTGCATGTGGATCTCCATCGCTGCTTTCGCTGCATCCACCTGCTCCTTGATGTGCACATCGGCCTGCTCCTGGAGTTTGAGGATGTCCTAGGTCGGCCATCTCCTCGACTTCCATGTCCCGCTCCGCTTGATTCTTGAGGTTGGCCATTTCCTTCTCGTCCCACTGGAAGTACTCGCACATCCTTCTCGTGCACTTGTAGAAGCGTCGTCCCTGAGTCGGTCCCGCTTTCTTCACTTCCCATCGTGTGGCTGGCACCTTGCACTGACACATCACTGGGCCATCCTTGGAGCTCGCCGCTGACGACATAGGTCCAAAGCTTCTCCCCGGCGGAGACATGGCCATCGTAGAGGATTTCTTGACTTCTTCCAGCTTCTCGGGTGTCAGCATCGACCATCGACCCTTGCATAGTACACACCACACTTCTCTGCCATGTTGGTTCCCGCTTCCACGAAGATCCGCAGGAGGATGCGGACACTCTGTCACCTTCTTCGTAGGTGGGTCCTTGGTCTTCCTGATCCCGAGGTACGGGGAGTACTTGATCATCTGAGCGTATTCCAAGTGCTTGTCGGTAACCGTAGCAACACTTTCCGAAGGTGGCGGGGTAGAAAGACTGCCCTGCGATGATCCCAGCCCCAATAGCTGCAGTGACCCACCTGGAAGCCAGTCCCAGACTCTTGCGCGAGCGTCCACCAGCGCCATCAACTGCATGAGCTTGTCGCCGATGGATCTCCATCGCATAACCGCTCGCTTGGTCCTGCGCTCGGCCGCTGACAAACCTCCAGGACGAGTCGGTGCATCCTGGGCTCTCTGTTCCAACATCCTGTTCAGCAGCATCTGCGCCATCACCGACTTCGAATTTAACCCTTCCAACAACTGGTTCCTCGAGAGGAGACATGCTCTGGTTGAGGAAACCACTCGTAACAAGCACATACTGCTCATGCTGCAAGTTCTGTGACTGAGCTTCAGTTGGAATCTTCCAACAACCATGGGCATACGAAGTGACGCTCACCGACATGTGACCCGAAGGCATCTCAAACATGTCTGTTTCAACCCCATAGGCCTTGAGACGGAGCACGTTGTCGTCCAAGTCGACGACTGCCTTCAGCTGTTTGAGCATCTTTATCGGCAGAAGCAATGGTACATTGTCTTGCACCACCGTGACTTCTAGAAGCCCATTCACACCAGCTATGCCGATAGGTAGTTCAGCTACGCCAAGAACAGTGGCTCGTCCACCAACACCACTCGCCTGAGCCTTCTTCTGGGTATTCCAACGAATGCGTAACCCGTGACTCCGAAGCGTCTCAATCAAAGACAGCAACGCCGGCTTGCTGATGAGGCGTCTTGAGCTGCCGTATCGACCACACCTTCGCCAGGGTTCGTTGTAACACCGGCGAAAACTTCACACAGCTGTTCATCTGTTCGCTCAGGAAGGGCAGCTTGTTCTTGACGCTTGCGACTCAGTACTGAAGAGAGTACACTCCCGAAGGTGGGGATGTAGGACATAAAGTTCTGCACATCCTTTTTACCATGAAGTCCACTCGTCTCCTCACTCGTGGTCTCTACAAAGAACCCTGATCTCGTAGACGGAGACGACGGATTGGACGACTGACCCACCGACGAGGAGGCTGCTCGCTGCATATTCTGTCTGCCTCGTTCGTCCGGAGGATTCCTGCACTCTCGCGCCCAATGACCAATCACTCCGCACTTCGCGCAGCACGTGCGAAGTTTAAGGAGATCAACATGTACTCGGGTTCCCTTGGCTCCAAACTTCATCTGTGGCGGAGGTTTTCTATTCTTGAAGTCCAGGATTGGCCTTCCCTTGCCTTTCCCTTTGTCTCGAGAGGAACTCGAGGACTTGGAGCCTTTTCCAGTAGGATAGTAACCCCTGGAATTCCGCTGGTCCTTCAGTGATCGTCTCACATCCTGATACGTGGCCAGCGCTTCTTGCACCTCGTGCTCCTCGAAGATCTGGTTGAGGTCCTCCTCTCCGACGTAGATGTAGTCCTCGTCAAACTCAGACTCCTCTGCTTGCTCACCTTCATTCATAAAAACTTCTTGTTCATCGAGGAGGGCTGAGTCACCATCTTCTTCATGATCTAGAAGATAGGTAGAACTCCTTTTTCTCACATCGAAGGCTCCTTTATCCAACTTGCGAAGGTTGAGGATAATGGTAGTCTTGTCGTACTTGCCTGATCCCCATGTCAACATCTGACCCTCTTGTACTTCACTGAGGTTCGCATGACGAAACAAGACATACCCAGCCACCAAATCATGAAGGTCAACACCCTGTCTCTTGAGCTCTGTGAAAGCCTTCTCCATCCTGATGACATAGTCCGCGAAGGTCTCCTTGGCGGCCCTGATGTCGCCGTAGATCGCTTCCTCAAAAGCCTTAGGCAGAGAGACCTCCAAATGGGGTTGGTAGTAGTCCTTCAGGATCTTAAGCAGGTTATCCAAACCCTTCTCACAAGCCAGCTCCTCGAACGTCATGTTCTCGGCAACTGCACGAGCTGGCCCCGCAAGCTGTCTCAGAACCTTCACGCCCCACTTCTCCTTGGGAACCTGTCTCGAACTTCCACCATTCAAGCTCCTTCAACCATCTAGGGAACTCCTTGTCCGGGCTCCGGCCGTCGTACCCTGGTGGTGGATCGCGATCCTTCCATCCGCCCTGGATCGTCGCAGGAGGGACCGCCGCAGCCGGCTTAGGCTGACTCTGCGGCGGCATCTGCGACCTGCTCCGTAGGTCGCTCCGCTACCACCTGTAACAACAGGTGGGCTTAAACTGCTTCAACTCAAGAAGCTCTTCGGACTCAGCAGCTTTTCCATCTGCTGTAACGACTGCGTAGCATTCGGTCTACAAGGGGCCCCTGATACATTCGGGCCGAATAGCAGCGTAGTTTCTGCTTTCACTATGGCACAGCAACGAAGCGACTGCACCTTGGAACTTACACTGGGGCTTTGGCGTCTGGGGCTTTGGTGACTTGGAGTTTGGGGGTTTAGAGTTTAGGGTCTTGGGAGTTTCGAGTTTTGGGGTTTGGGGTGGCTTTTGTGTTACGAAGAAAGATCAAGGTTGGAGTGTAGTAATATGCCTACAAGGGTAGGGTTTAAGGTTTAGTTAGGGTTTAGGGGTTTAGGGTTTGGGGTTTAGGGTTTATGGGTCTAGTCTAGGGACAGTAATGAAGTCTGTGCCAAGGTCAGAAGCAGAAGGGCTGGAACCGGCTTAGAAGGTAAACCACCAACAGTCAGGCTGACTCCAATATACTAAAATATACGATGCTAGAATATACTAAAATATACTACAATATACAATAATATACTGTAATATACTATAGTCTACTCTGATATACCAAAATATAGTATAGCATTCTAAAATATACTTGTGCTGCTTCACACTTCCTGCCTCATCCGAAGAGAGGTGATGCTGCAGCAGGGCGAGGTCGTCCGCAGCCCTTCCGTTCTCGGACCTGGCGGAGTACATTGCTGTTTAGGGTTTAGGGTTTAGGGTTTAGGGTTGTTTTTTAATGACTATCCTCGGTGCTATCTATCGTGTTTCCAGGCTCATGTGGCAAGGAGTCTCACAGCGAAAATTAGGGCATGTAAACGAGAGAAAGTTCGGGATAGAAACAAACATTCTGTGATTTGGAGCTCGCCTCCACTTTTCATGACGAAGCTTCAACGGTGCCAAGTAGCCAATACATGCCGATGCTCAACCCAAAACACCTGCCTGCAGGTAGGGCAAGCTTCTGAATCGGCCCCAGCAGAAGGCGCGCAGATCAGCGTGGTAGACAGGACGATGCGCACCTCGAGCGTGGACCCGCGAATGACTGAATCGTGCAGCATGCATACTCCGAAGTGGCGGGCTGTCTGGACATGCTCACCAAAAGTAACAGCATATATGCAGACTCAATTCAACATTTTCAGCGACATATACCAAGTAGGACACGGATCGTTGGAAGACGTAGTTCAGGACTAGTCTAGCATGCATGTGGGTAGCCCCTCCAACTTACCTACGTTATTGTGACAAGTATACCCCAAACTCCTGAAGCTCTCAGAGCCTAGGTGTCGTTGCAAACATCCAGCCATATCAATGCTGCAGAGATGCTACAACGGCAAGGCGCACCATTTTCACGGGGCGGCACCCTACGCAGAAGTCCCGGATGCTACCGTATCTCATGAGCCAACATGAAACATGGGCATTCCTCTTAGTTCACTTCAGAGGGTGACCAGCTTCCTGCAGCTTGCACGCCTCGCAAACGATAGACAGGTTGCTTAAATCAGGACTGCTTCCGAAGGCAACCATAGGCCTTAAACCCTAAACCCCTAAACCCCTAAACCCTAAACCCCTAAACCCCTAAACCCCTAAACCCTAAACGTAGGGTTTAGGGTTTAGGATTTAAGGCCCATTTCAGGGCCGCGGGTCTGCAAAAATCGAGTTATTTATCAGGTCTGGGCTTGCGTGAAGGGCGTAGGGTGTGGATGTACAACAAGACCAGACGGGTTTAGGGTTTAACGGTTTAGGGTTCAGGGTTTAGGGCTTTTCATTTAGGGTGCTGGACGTTGAACGATGGTGAACAAACAGATGCTGCAAGTCGCAGCGCAGAGTCTTACGAGAGTCATGGCGGCCGATGTCGACTGCAGTGCTGCATATGGTATGCTAGGACTGCGTAACAGCTCTGATCAAAGATTGAAACCCGAAACCCCCTAAAGCCTAAACCCCTAAACCCCTAAACCCTAGACCCCTAAACCCGAAACCCCTAAACCCTAAACTCCTAGACCCTAAACTCCTCTTCCTGGCTTCGGGCCTCTAGGATACGCCACGTGGGGTGCGCTTTGGGGCTTCGGACGTGGGCCTGGAACTTTGCAGTCCTGGGGCGCTCTATCGAATATAGGGGCCTTAACTAGAGTGGGGAATAGGGTTTAGGGTTTAGGGTTTTAGGGTTTAGGGTTTAGGGTTTTAGGGTTTAGGGTTTTAGGGTTTAGGGTTTTAGGGTTTAGGGTTTTAGGGTTTAGGGTTTTAGGGTTTGGGGTTCCTGCGGCCGCTCCATCCAAAATAGGGGCCGTAATAGTTAGAGTAGGGTTCCTTAAAAGGGATCCTCAGCGGGTTCTATAAGGGGTCTATGATGGGTTCTATATTCGGGTTTAGGGCGTAGGGTTTAGGAACTATAGGGCCTCAATAATTGGAGTAGGGTTCCTTGAAAGGGATCCTCAAAGGGTTCTATAAGGGGTCTATGATAGGGTTCTAAATTAAGGTTTAGGGTTTAGGGTTTAGGTAATGTAGGGGCCTTAATAATTAGAGTAGGGTTCTTTTAAAGGGTTACTATGAGGGTTATTATAAAGGCTATGATAAGGATAGAAATAGGGTTCCTTTAAAGGGTTACTACGAGGATTATAAGGGTTATTATAAGGATATAATGTAGGGGCCTTAGTAAATTAGAATAGGGTTTTGGGGCCCATTCTACTATAATTATAATAAGGAAACCCCGAAAGAGTATAGGTAAGTATTTAGGCCCCTACACTAGGGTATGTAGAAGAGTTCCATCACGGTTTTGGGCTTGGGCCTCTGCATACGGGTTCCATAGTCCGATTCGGTGACAGAAGCCGGGGAACGAGATACCCAGAAGCTGAGCTATGAACCTTATTAGGGTTTAGGGTTTAGGGTTTAGGGCTTTAATCAAGTGGAGGCTTTACTCGTGGATTTCTTTCTTGACGGTTCTTGTCCCTTACAGGAAGGCCAGAAGGCCTGATGAGGCAGAACCCAGTGCCTGGAGGAGCCTTCTACCCTGACTAGCTCCGAAACATCAAAACTCCAAGCTCTCCAAGCGTGTGCTGACCCCTGAGTCGCAGTTTCAGTCACTACCAGTAAAGAGGCAGTAGATTCGAACACAACACAGCCCATCCAATGCAGCTTAAGACCTTTTTGGTCTGGGACAAGCCGTGTGCGGCTGGCTGCACAGAAGACCTTGGACTTCGTCGTCGCGGTCAAGACCCATCCCTGTCACCGAGATCTGCAGCGGCATCCCAGGAACCCATCGGCTGCGGTAGATCAGAAGGAAGCCGACAAGTTCCAGCTGGTTCGGATCTGTCATGCAGACCAGACACGTTTCAAGAAGGTGAAATCGCCTTTCACAGCGTGCTTGCCGAGCCAGTAGCGGTAAGGCCAGCTGAGCCCGAACAGGCTCGACACCACGTAAGGCCAGAAGCCCAAGCAGCGCGGAAGCCGATGTCCGGTCGTGCCAATCATGTCCGAGTAGAGCGTGAACGGATGCCCAGCCGGGTCGACGAGACTCAGGCGCTTGGTGATGTCGTAAGACGCATCTGCATTTGCTGCCCTAAGACGCAGTTGATGCTGCTGCTGCTCGTGAGTCCTGCGCGTCTCGTCATCCGCCGCCTGCCATTTCAGCTCGAAATGGACTTGAAGAAGAGGAAAGTAGCTCAAGCCCTCGACGACCTCACCCGACATGTCGGCCCAGCGCCGCACTTGCAGACGCTCGGTGAATGTGGCGGTGTCCACTCGCTTGGTGTAAACTACTGTTTTCGTGCTGCCGTCCGGCTTCCTTACCACTCGTGTCCGCCTCTCGTGGTGGTAACAGCGTGCCTGCACTTCCGGAATAGGACGACAGGCCTTCACCTCCTCGATGTAGTCCACGATGTCGTCCGTGTGTTTCAGACGGAGAAGCCCCCGTGCTGTGGGGTTCAGAAACAAGGCCTCGAGGAGGTAGACTGCATAAACGAGAAGTAGACCGCAGTAGGATCCATCCAACATGAAGATCGCAGCGGCCAAAGTAGCAAGAAACGCCAACACCCGCGTCGCACATCGGGTCCGACCGCCCGAAGGTGCTGCGGACTCGCCCCATTCGGGTTGTAGTTGCAAGTAGCCGCGAGAATCCGGCGTCGGAATGCCATCGATTTTCACCAGCGTCAAGTCCAATCGACCATCCTGCGATATCGACGAGACGAAACCACCTCCTCCCACGGTGGCCCCAGATATCAAGGTGATGAGCTTGAAGGCGTACGGATAAAGCCCCAACTGGCGGCTAATGGTGCCCTTGAGATCACAGCTCTTCGTGTTTTCCGGCACTTCCACGGAGCAAAGCTCTTCGCCAGCGAGGTTCGAGACATGGACGAAGAGCCCCTTCCATTTGAGGGTTTAGGGTTTAGGGGGCCTTGCTCCTTCATCTGCCAAACCCTAAACCCTAAACCCTAATCCCTGAACCCTGAACCCAAACCCTAGTGTGACCTAAGATCCTAATCCTATGAACATACCGGAGCCCCTCGTCGCAAGGACACCTCCGTGTTAAGGGGCTGTAGGGTTTAGGGATTCGGGTTATAGGGTGGGGCAAGAGGTTTAGGGCTTCGAGTCCTTTGTTAAACTCTGCTCTTCTCGATTTGGAGTTTAGGGTTGAGCAGTTGCTTCGGGGCTGAAGCTTTGAAGGTTCAAATTTCATTGAGGGGCGGGTATCTGAAGTCAAGCCTTAACTGTTCAGGGTTCAGGGTTCGGAGTTTAGGATTTGGGGCTTGGGGTCTCTGATCTCCTTCGCTGCTCGCGCTGTAGGGTCTTTTGCTGTTGCTGAGCGCTCCGCGTTTTGGGCCGTGCATGTTGACGCTCCGATTCGGGCTGGAAACGTTGGACCACCGCACCTACGAGCCTTGCAACGCTGCCACGAAAGTAGTTATGCCCGTACCCGAGACGTCATACACCCGAAGAAATCTTAATACGTCCAAAACAAAAACCCGTAAGGAGACCTGTCTGCCTTTGGGCTTTTAGGGTTTAATTGGGCCCCAAACAACCTACCTTGTTTTAGGGCTTCTTAGTATGATTTCCATATAGGAGTCCGTAAAAAAGTAGGTCATTCAGGGCCCAGGTACAGGGACCCTGAACCCTAAACCCTAAACCGTTTGGGCTTTGGGGTTGTAGGAATCTCTGGGCTTAGAGAGCCAAGGGTTGAGGCATTTGGAGGCATCTTAAGCCCCCTACGTGGGTAGCTCTCTAAGACAGGGTCCCCTTTGTTTTTAGGCCCCCAAACAAAGTGCGGCACCCTTATAATAAGGACCTACACATGGCCCCTAGTTTAGAAAACTACTCATGTGGCAACGACTTATTCGTACATCTTCAAACCTTCGACTTGCTGACATCTGGAGTTTGGGCTTTCATCTGAAACCTCTGTCGCTCTTCTGAACCTCTCTGGCAAGAGTGGGTCGAATCCGGCACCCCTAAACCCTAAACCCTAAACCCTAAACCCCCTAAACCCTGAACCCTAAACCCTGAACCCTAAACCCTAAACCCTAAACCCTAAACTCGCAAGAAGCTCTTGCCAGGGCCATAGAAACCGTTTAAACGCGAAACCCGAAACCCGGAAAGTCCTCGCCATGGCTCCGCTTGCCCATGATCCACGAGCTTTTGCCGGCAAAGGCTTAGGGTTTAGGGTTTAGGGTTTAGGGTTTAGGGTTTAGGGTTTAGGGTTTAGGGTTTAGGGTTTAGGGTTTAGGGTCTAGGGTTTAGGGTACTACAGGTACATCCGAGAGCATGAGACCGAATCCTGTATTCCGGGGAGGCTTGCCTCTTCGTTGGGAGCGGACAGCAACCGGCCTTTTAAAGGCTGCGGAATCACAGAGGTCCCCACCCAAAGTAAACCCTAAACCCTAAACCCTAAACGGGTCCCCACCCAAAGTAGTAAACATACTCTTCGACCTCAGGGACTGTTAAGAAGGGGGGCTTCGGGTCTAAAACCTTAGGGGCAGGGAGCACCCACTCGGCCCGTGGTTTTCTGGCAAGGCTTCTGAGAAACGACTTCGGGGGAATAGGGTTTAGGATTTAGGGTTTAGGGTTTAGGGGGAAGTACCGACATGTCTCTGGCCTTTCACATGACTTGGCTGTTGTCACAACTGCTGTCCTGCGACTACTTAGATGAAACCCGCTGGACATACTACAGGGTTGCAGCAGCACGCGGGCTGTTCACAGCTGTTGTCAGTGAATTCCTGCTAGAGTCTATTCTTCTGGGCACTCTTGAGGTTCGTTGTTCTTCTTTTTCAAGGGTAAGCGGCTTCAAGGGGATGAGTTCGGACCCAGGTGGAGCCCTGTCTGATCACCAGTAGCCTTGGCCATAGTCCCCTGACAATACGAGCCTCCCCGAAAATCAACCCAAGGAAGATTCCAAGGAAGCTCCGCGGACCGAACGTGGCCCCCTTTATTGCCGTCACCAGCCTAAGTAGCATTGTGGCTTGCCTGCTTTGCAAGGAACCTTCTCCAGGTTCAGAAAGGGTTGAGAAGCTTTCGCCGCAGCTGTCATGCGAAGCTCGTCGATCAGGCGGCACCAGTTGGAAGAGAGGGTGCACACCCAAGCGTCTGACTCCAAGGCCAATTCGAGGTTCATGAACGCCGACAAGACTTCTGTTCTGGCTGCCTTGCCCGGTCTCAAATGCATCCAGGGATCGTAGTTTGCTCGCTTCTTCTCAACATACGTCACGTTCCACCCCCGCTTACACAGCTTCCGGGTCGCTTTGATCACAGCAGGGTCATCCGTTGATACAAAGATATTTCGTGCTGCAAAGGACTCAGCTGGATACTGAAAGCTGGCGTTGCTCTCAGCCACCTCGCGGTGCAAGATCCGCAAATCCTGGCGCCCCGCTGCAAGCCGCTGCATCTCGCGAACGTAGTCGCCCCTGGGCCAATGCAACTTAAGCCGCTTCGTTCCCCAGTGGTGGGGTCAATCCAACAGTAGATTTGTTTGTTCTCGCTTACCATTCAGCCTAGTACAAAAGTTGAACACGCAGTCGTCAATCTAAGGCTCAGGTCGTGCTCCACCACCCTCTCCTGCTTTTTCAAGCCATGACGCACAAAGGTCGCCATGCTTCCAGCAGCCAGCACGCCGGAGGAATTTGCATGCTGGCCACAGGAGACCAAGGACTCAGATCTCAACTTGTCAATAGCATGCCTCGTCCGTTCCTGAAAGCGAAGTAGATACGTGATGGATTGAGCCCGCCACCAGTAAACCCAAAAGTCCTTCTTGATGGGAGACTGTGCCAACATCTCATGAAAGCGTGCGGGCACAGGCCGGGAAGTCTGAGTGTTGTCTACTTTCATGACATCCCCATGCACATCCGCGCAGAGACCTATCTCTTGGAGCCAGCACTGCCAGCTGTGGGCACCAGGGCAAAATCTCTTGTCATAGTACTGAAGCAGTGTATCCTTCACAGGGACCACTAGCACTCTGTCCAACTCCATGGCCAAAGCCAAGGCCTGACCAAGTTGATGCAACATTGACCCAATTCCACCAGGTCCCGTCCGAAATATCAAGATCTTGACGTCGCGACAGTCTCTTCTTGGATGTTGATGATCCCAAATCATCTGCTGCGCCAGAGCGGTTCCGTAGAGTATGGCCTTACGAGATGCGCCCTGCTGGATCATGCGCCAGGGATATCTCTTCGCGTCCCAGCCGCGGGCCAGCAGCTCCTGATCCAGTCTGAAAGCTTCCTGGGAGGGGTCACCGAGGTCAGACTCCAGCTTGTAGATATGATTCTGCACAGTTTGGGGCGCCGGGTGAGTGTCCAGGGGCTCGGAACTGCGCACAGCTGGCAAGGAGATGTTCGAAGGCACATCCTCAGTGACGTTCACCGCGCTTGACAGGTCTGAACGCCTGATGCGTTCCGTGGGTTTCAGTGTCCCTAGAAGGCCCACGCCCAAAGACACCAGTAACAGCAGGCGGAGAGCTGAACTTCTTGCATCTGAAGCTGAGCCAAAACGCCAAGAAGTGAAGCTTGCCAACTCAGCTTGGTTGCAGGAAACTCCACCTCGTTGAAACAGAAAAAGGCGAGGCAAAGTGCCCCAAACCCCTTGGATCCTTACAGCCTAAACCCTCAACCCCTTCGATCCTTGAAGCACTAGCCTGAAGAGCTACCTGTGCGGGCCTCAGGGCTCTGAGGACTTCGGTTTCATACCAGAAAAGGGTAGATACGAACAACGGAAAAGCAGAATCATCAATCTATGCAGTTCGTTCAGCTTTGGGTGGGGGTGTGCATCTACTGCGGGTGTTGCGGTTGGCTGCCTTCTCGGACCGACCTTTCCTCTCGCAGGCCTCTCCAAAGCCACTTTGGGCTTGCAAACGAGCGAGTGCGACGGCTCAACACGAGAAGACGAAGTCTAATCCAACCCTAAACCCTAAACCCTGTATACCCTTCGTTTCAAAGAAGACCCGAAGCTGTAGAACAACTCCCGCTCGAAACCTCCGAAACACTGCACCCCTACTAGTAGTCGTCGTCCTCTTCGGCGAGGAGGCCGGGGGGACCCGGCACGGAAAACTCCGAAGAATCAAGCTCGAGAAGAATGTCCTCCAGATCCTCGTCGCCATTTGGGGCTCCTACACCCTAAACCCTACACCCCGAACCCAGAAAACTTCTACCCTGAACCCTAAACTCGAAACCCAAAACCCAAAACCCTAAACCCCGAACCCTAAACCCTGAAACCGAAACCCCGAACCCTAAACCCTGAAACCTAAACCCTTTTGCGGCTTTCGGATCATGGCTCTCAGGTCTAGACCCTAGGGTTCGCGGCAATGCGAGTCGAGGCTGGGGTTTAGGGTTTAGGGTTTAGGGTTTAGGGTTTAGGGTTTAGGGTTGAGTTAGGTCTTCCGCTTAGCGGGTCTTACTGGGCTCCCAGAAATTCGAAAATTGGGTTTGGGCTTAAGGTCTTGCTTGGGGTTTGGGGTTTGGGGTTTTGAGATTTTGGGGCGTGGGGTTTGGGTTTAGTGTTTAGCTGCTTTTTTTGGTGTTCCAAAGCCCCTAACCCTACACCCTAAACTCCGACTCCCAAGCCCAGACCAACGGCCCTAAAGCCGCCTAAACCCTAAATCCTAAACCCCAAAACCCTAAACCCCTAACCCCTAAACCCCTGAACCCCTACACCCCTACCCAAGCCCCACCCAAAACCCCCACCAAAAGAACCCCTCTCTAAACCCTAAACCCTATAGTACCCTTTAAAGGAAGCCTAGGATCCCTATAGCACCCTTTAAAGGGACCCTCGGATCCCTATAGTCCCCTTTACAGGAAGCCTAGGATCCCTATAGTACCCTTTAAAGGGACCCTAAACCTCTCGGAGCCGAGGCGACCTCGTCGGGAACCGCGCCGGAGGCACAGAGCTTCAGCTGGGTCGCCCGCTCCTAGGCTCGGGGCTTAGGGCTTAAGGCTTATAAGGTTTAGGGTT